CGGTTAGAAAGCCATTTCCTGCACTTAAAAACGTAACATCGTGGTTGTTATAATCATGGTCGTGGTTATAATCTGGTGGTTGGTTGTTATAATCATGGTCGTGGTTGTTATAATCATGGTCGTGGTTTGTTATAATCATGGTTCCTGGTTGTTATAATCACTGGTCGTTTATGATCATGGTTGTTGTTGTGTTATAATCATTGTCGTTTGTTATAACCTGGTGGTGTTTGTTATAATCATTATCGTAGTTGTTATAATCATAGACGTGGTTGTTATAATCATGGTCATCGGTGATATAATCATGGTCGTGGTTGTTATAATCATGGTCGTGGTTGTTATAATCATGGTCGTGGTTGTTATAATCATGGTGGGTTTGTTATAATCATGGTCGTGGTTGTTATAATCATGGTCGTGGTTGTTATAATCACGGTCATGGTTATTATAATCATGGTCGTGGTTATTATAATCATGGTCGTGGTTATTATAATCATAGTCGTGGTTGTTATAATCACGGTCATGGTTGTTATAATCATGGTGTTGGTTGTTATAATCATGGTTCGGGTTGTTATAATCATGGTCGTGGTTATTATAATCATGGTCGTGGTTGTTATAATCATGGTCGTGGTTGTTATAATCATGGTCTTGGTTGTTATAATCATGGTTGTGGTTATTATAATCATGGTCGTGGTTGTTATAATCATGGTCGTGATTGTTACAATAAGGGTCGTACCTGAGACTAACACAGGTAGAATAAACCCCACACCTTATCTTTAATCTCAATAAACCCAGATTAAACTCACCTAATCAACAGGATTAGAGACCATTAGGATTGTACCACCAATACCGATACATTTCACACTGGATTAATAACAAAACATTTAATCACATTTCCAATAGCTAATGTCTTACGGATATCTTATCAAGTTGTGAGTCTTACATGTGTATATAATTATGTTTTATTCTTACAAATATTTACTGTATAGTTTGTTGTGTATTGTATTGTATGGTATGGTATTGTATGGTATTGTACTGTATTGTACTGTACTGTACTGTTTTGTTTTGTTTTGTAATGTATTGTATTACATTGTATTGTATGACAGTGGGCCCTTCGTGCCAGGTTCGCCGTCCGGCTGACAGCGTACAGCGAATGAGGGTGCGCCAAGTCCGTAGACTTGTGAGGGTGCGCCAAGTCTGTAGACTTGCATCGTTTTCCATCGCAAATAAAATGGTTAATTAATGCCTTCCTAAAGAAACCATCAACATGGGACCAGGTTTATTCCACTCTACGAATTTTTTTTGCGATTTTTCCACCAAGTTTGATGAAAAACGATTGTGCTGTTTCAGCTGCCCAGAACAGACACACAGACAGACAGTTATTCCTATAGTATATTAGATATGACTAAATAAATAGTGTTGTAATTTGTTAACTACCACATCATAAGTATTTTGTCAGCTTAAGTTAATCCCCGAAGAAAGGACCTGTGCTGTGTATCCAGTATGCATCTCTGTATACAAAAAATTATCTCAGCAAATATTCGGTGTACAGTCAACAAAAAAATTTCTGCATCTTTACAGAGTTATACAATTGACACACCGGACCAAGAATTCTAACAAATGTATGGGTTTTATATGTACAATATTCCTGTTGATTTCTCTGCATTAGCTATATGTGATATACAGAATACATTGTATTGGTTACACTATGCATCACACAATCAGAAGTACAGTACCAACATTACCAAATGAACATGGCCTCAGTCAGTGACTGTTGTGAAGGCGGTGTCAAGACCCAGGGGTGCAGAATTTATTTTATTGATTGTACATTAAGTGTACATTATAGTCTATTTCTTACATCTCAAATCAGAATGGTATTTGATGCAAAACTTTCCTAAAGCAACATAGTTAATGCACATATACATATACAAAATATTTACTGTACTACTAAGGACCAAATGGGGATAATTAATGAATTTACTGAATAATAATAAGCATTAGTTTGACCAACATATGAGTTAAGCATAGAAAAATAGAGAACACATTATCTAAACTCCACTGGTAACATAGTATCTACAGTAGAATATGACTTAGCAACTGATAAGAGCAACCTGGAAAGAGTATCATGCTATAAATGGTTCTACAGATTTTATAAGCTGTTAATAATATTACTTTCCTTGGGATACTTTTAGGAGCCACCAAGGAATGTAATTATTATACTCCTTTACCTGGTCACGACTCTTGTCCCCCACCATCACCACGAGGGTCCTGTGTCCAAGGGCGGCTCCATTTTCGATGAGGATGCGTATTCTATTGTCTAATTTTCGCTTCACCATCCTTGTGGAAGTAAGTTAAGGCTGGGCTTATACGGCATCTGTAGGAGGGATCCATAAACTTGAATGTGATTCATACTTTTTACAAGTTAGGAAAGTTTAGGTAAGGTTTTCAAAGGTTTATTTAGTGTTATTTTTATAATTTTACCCCACATTTTACCTCTACTTCAAAGTCCTGCCCACTTTGAACAGCCAATATTGTTGGGGTAAATATAGTATATAATAGTAGTCACATAAAAATTTTAATAAATAAAAGACTATAAATTTCCGACGGAAACACTATCGATTAAAAAATTTCATTTTTTCCCTCTATCTCCCTGTGTAAGACTCAATATATAAGTAGATGTTAGCAACTGCTAAATATCAACTCTGCTTAAGTCCTCTTAAGGAAATAATTACAGGAAACATCCTGATTTTCCAAACTGGAAGTAAAAAAAAATCAAATGTTACCAATATCAAATCCATTTCGTCACCAATAACAGTCGCTGGTATTAGTGATGAATTGTAAGTTATTATTTTACACGAATAGAAATTACACATGTATACAGACGATTCGAGAAGTATTGTTATAATTATACATGATTATTAGTTATTGAATAAAGAAAATGATCAAAACATTGGTAAATAAACAAATACAGAACAAATGAAGAATTATTGTGTTATTACTATACATGAATATTAATTATTTAATAAAGAAAACGATTCAACATTGGTAAATAAACAAAATACAGAAGGTGATTTGGCACCAGCGCATAAACCACCGAGCAGCAAAGAACAATCTCACTCTACCATCTTCACAGATTGATTTGTAATTACAGTACAGTACAACTAGTTGCTGAGCACAAGCTAAAATCGTGCACAAGAAAAGCAAATCATGACAAACAAGTCCATCTCTGGAAGCTGTGGGATGAATATGAAGAAAAAATATCACCACTTCTAATTTCCTATAAAATTGTCATTGTCTTCCGCCAAGTTTGCATGAGTAAATTTTAGTCTTTCACTAATTGTTTAAGTGAGATGATTGCAGGCGTATTATTTTTGTTTGTTTGTTTTAGCCTTTAATAAATTGCTTAAGTGTGATACTTGCATGAGTAATAACGTTTTTATGTTCCTATTTTCGTCTTTAATAAATTGTCTTCGTGAGTTGCTTGCATGATCCAAAGTATTGTTATGCCGAGGCATAATTTCGCTATACAATTTTGTAAACTAGGTGTTTTGATTAAACACTGGTAAATATTACCGGCCATATAAGCTGTTGCGTCTTTCACATATTGTTTAAGTGGAATGATTGCAGGCGTATTAACAATGTTTTTATTTTATACTTTCGTCTTTTATAAATTGTCTTAAGTGTTTTTTATTATTTTCTATCTCAAGCAACAGTTATTTTCGTGTATATATTAATGGGAATGAACGTGGTGACGAAACGGGTAGAAAACAGTGGTGACGAAATGGACATACCCAGTTTGGTGGTGTCCTACTTCAAGAGTGTCATTTGGTCCAAGCAACACCAAGGATAAGGGGCCTTTCGGGTATCTATAGCCAAAATTAAATCGTAATCAGGTGTGGGAGTTCTGAACAAGACCAGAGAAGGATCAAGCCAATTAAATGCCTCGTCCATACACGAAGTTATGACTTATAGAGACAATGAATTCTCAGCTCCAGCATTTTTTAACAGACGTTGCTATTCGGAATCATATTTTAAGCTAATTCTGTATATAAAAGAACTACGAACAGGGTAACTGATGAATATTTCGAGACTCACGTGTTGAGCTTCCACTTGGTGTAAACAACCCTGAGCGTTATGACGTTCTTTAAGTCAACAAACCAAATGTTCTTTCAGACAAAATACATGTGTATATATTCAAATAAGCTTAAAAATCACAGTTAATATAAAATTCTCTACTAAAACACTTAACTGCAATTAAACCTTCTAATTTACACATATTTAGCGTAACAATATTAAGAATGAACTTAAAAGCACTGACCCGGCACTCACCAGCTGACAGTGACCACCTCGTCAGTGTAAAGGTAAACAAACCCGGGTGGTGCACGTGCCCAGGTGAGCAGTGTTATACAGCTGTTAGTTGAGACAATAATACAAAAATCGAAAGGGCTTCGGGCCAGACAGGTACGTAGTCAGGATCTAGGCTAACAATACGAGATTCTGGAAAGAACAGTAACTGATCTGGTTGGGAATTTGGTCACTGGGTCCGGGACCAATAAGGGTGGTAATGTTGAATGTAGGATATATATCACAATTATCATAAATACAAACCAGATCTAACCTAACCTAACCTGGAGGTTCGTGACTGGAATGTTCCCAGGGTTATTAAAGGGATCATGATGTAGAATCAGGAAATTTTGGGGTTAAGTTAAAGGAGACCGCTAGCACTAGAAATAACTTGTGGAATTAAACCAAAAATTCTGGAGATACTGTACATGTACAGTACTATTTGCATGATACTGAACTCAAATGAAAGTAAGAATGCACAGAACCTATTAGAACCTGATCTAACCATATCTAGCCTTAACTAACCTGCCTAACCTCAACTAAGTTCCAAACCTGTGCATTGTCGTTTTAATTTTCATACATATCTAGAAAGAATGAATGATTTCAATCCAATGAAAATCGTGATAAACATGCCCGATGAGATTGTTGTTGGTGTTGTGACATTTAAACAAAGGGCATAGAGACATGAAATTATTGTTATATGATATGTGTTCACAGTGTTTGTACCCTGTTATTCCCCCTTTTTTCATGCCCTGCCCACTAATAAATAATTTATGATCAAAGGGTAAGCTTAAAAGGAAAAAAAGATACTAGACTGTTGTTGCCTCGATTTTATTACTCAGTATCATCCAAACAACATCTCCTGAAAATGTGATGCAATTCCATAAAGTCCTTCTGGTGCTAGTGGTGGTCTCCTCCACCTTTACTAATTTTTGGTCCATGGCCCAAAAGCCCACCCTACATACAGCTCATGGCCCATACCTCCAAATACCGGAAATGCTACCCTTTGTACACTCGTTAATGAACTCATCTGATAGTTGCTTCTAATGGGTTGGGACAGTTAAAACTGCTACTTTTATGAGCTGTTGATTTAATAACAATAATCCTACTATTGCGACTACAGTATACTCACAATAATGATATTTATGCAGTAAAATCATACCATTTGTTAGGCATGTATAAAGTAGATAATGCAGGAATACAGTTAAGCATGTGTACAACCAATGCAGGTATATGGTGTACATAAACTGTATATGTATACAATTACCAAATGTACCTAGGCAGTGCAGGTGTAAAAAAGTAAGGCAATTTGACTAAGGATAGCCAACAAAATGATCCGATGCTTATTTCCAGTAGGGTCCCTTTTATTTCCACAAATCTGAAGTGCTTCCCTGTCTTGTGTTGGGTTTTATTAATGGGCAGAGTATATTTACATATCTCGCTATTTCAGTAATATATAATTGCAAATTTTTTTTCAGGTATAATGCGGTGTAAAAAAAATGATGGCATTGATTTTTGTTGCACATTGGCAAGACAGATTTCACAGCAATAGCAAATATAGCTACAGATTTTAGCTGGCTGCAGCTTCTTATATTATACTGTACTAACACATGCTTCAGTGAATTGAAAGTAAACCATCACTGAGCTATGTTTGATTATAGGAGATATGAACCATTGAGCTTTAACTTAGTCCATTCTTATAAAATCAGACACAGGTCAGTGATGTTTTTATCAATACTGTACTCTGTCAGTCATGCCAACAACTATGAAATATAGGAACATCAGTTGTACAAATGTGTTACATGCTTGTTTGTTTTTATCACTTCCTCCCATGAAAATGTTTTTGTTTTCAGCTTGGACAAGATATTCATTTCAAGATGGTGATGATCATTGGATTAGAAGGAAGTGCCAACAAGATTGGTGTAGGGATAGTACAAGAAGGAAAGGTGTTGTCCAACCCTCGCTGCACTTATGTCACGCCACCTGGACAAGGTTTTATTCCTCATGATACAGCAAAACATCATCAGGTAATGTTTACTCATTTATTTATTTATTTTTTAGGATAGTAATAAGGATTTTCAGTAGGCAACAGTAGTACGTATACAGAATTGCTACGTATCATTAATATACAGTCCTCTACAGTATCATATTTTCTTCGTGTGTATAGGTATAGTATGTTATTGCCTGTCTTTTTCAAATAAAACATACACAAATTTTGTATGAATTGTAAGATTTCTCATTTTTACATACCTGTACAGTATATTAAATTTCTGTATTGCATTTCACATCTCAGAAAATAAAAAATTATGAAATATAAATGTTGGGGAGACAGGCTTCCTTAAGTTTTAAAGAAAATGTGTTAAGGAACGAATTGAATAGGATGAGAAAACCAAGAGAACAGATGGGGATGACAGTTAACAGTCAGAGGGGATATACAATATTGTTTTAAGGAAAAAAAATAAAGATAATACTTAAGAACAAGCTATCACAGCAGTAAGAGTGAATGAAGAAATAGCCTAAGTTTGCTCTTGATTTTGACCACCAGCTATGTTGTGCATTAAGGCTTGCACGATTGATAAAATATTTCCTGTTAACATATACAGTACTATATGATTATTATATGTATATTTTTTGTACCACAGGCTCATGTACTGGAAGTTCTGCATATGGCATTGGCAGAGGCAGATGTTACTCCACAACAAATTGATGCTATTGCATACACCAAAGGCCCAGGGATGGCAGCACCTCTTATCAGTGTGGCAGTGGTGGCAAGAACAATTGCCCAGCTCTGGAACAAACCCATTGTTGCTGTCAATCATTGTATTGGTCACATAGAAATGGGGAGGCTTATCACTGGAGCAGAAAACCCAACAGTTTTGTATGTAAGCGGTGGCAACACACAGATTATTGCATACTTGGAGAGAAAATATAGAATATTTGGTGAGACCATTGACTTAGCTGTTGGGAACTGTTTGGATAGATTTGCAAGGATTCTCATGCTGTCCAATGATCCAAGTCCAGGTTACAACATAGAACAAATGGCTAAGAAAGGTAGGAAGTTTCTCCCTCTCCCCTATTGTGTAAAGGGAATGGATGTTTCGTTTTCTGGTATTCTGTCTTACCTTGAAGAACGTGCAGACAAGCTGCTGAAAACTGGTCAGTACACCAAGGCGGATCTTTGCTTTTCTCTGCAAGAAACTGTGTTTGCCATGTTAGTGGAGACAACTGAACGAGCCATGGCACATTGTGGGTCCCAGGAGGTCCTCATCTGTGGTGGTGTTGGATGCAACTTACGGCTCCAGCAGATGATGGGCAAGATGTGCGAGGAGAGGGATGCAAAGCTTTATACAACAGATGAGAGTTTCTGTATTGATAATGGAGCCATGATAGCCCAGGCCGGGTATCTCATGTATAACTCAGGGATAAGAACACCTCTGGTTGATACATGGATTACTCAGAGGTTCAGGACAGATGATGTCCAAGTAACCTGGAGAGATTAACCCCCTTTGTTCTATACTGTACACACAAAAAGTATAGATAACATTAGCTATTATGAGGAATGAGTGAGTTTTCACATTCATAGAGGCCAATTTTTCCTTCTTCAAATATTTTTCAGTATCCCTTTACGGCACTCATTTCATTTGACATCAATCCATTTAATATCATGCACTTCATTTTTATGTTTCACATTTCATATATCATACTTATATTTAATAAAACTTAATTTTAAATATGACTAACATCAGTGATAATTATAACATCAATGGGTATGGTGGCAGAATGGCTATTGTACTGAGTTGGAAGTCTGTTGCTCATCATGTATTAGGCAATACGTACAGTACAGCACTACAGGTATGTGAGTGATATCCTGTAGAAGCCAGTAACAGTAATATACCAGTAACCCATAACACTACCAGCAAATGAAAAGTCCAATTGGCTCGAATATGAAGACAATAGAGGAGATAACCTATCCTATTTCAACTTGTGTGATATGTGATGCCAGGACCATACAACAGGTGCCCGGAGTTTAATCATAAATTCCCTGGTGTACTTGGCAAACCTCGCTTGAATATTGTATGTCAGAATGTCAGGGCACACCCTCATGTGTACATCTCCTGTTTAGCCTGAAGTATATAAGAAAGTTATTTAGCCTCATTAATCCCTACATAAAAAAGGGAGGAGTGTGTTGTTTGATGTTTTATATGTATATCACCAGTAAAATAAATCTAAATTTAGAATATGTAAGAGTTTTCTTACCAAAGTAAAGCTGTTTTGATAATTATTTGATGTCAGTTAAGTACATGTTACATAAATGACCAAATGCTTTACTTTACATAATCCCTATCTGAAAAGGAGTATTGTAGACTCTTAAACATATTGTACATCCTTTTTTTTTTTCATAGAGAATCTATCTCCAATTGTAGAGTGGGAATCAATGTACTGTACTTTATTAATACAGTGATAAATTTGTTACTGTTTAGATGTTGGCTTGGCATTTGCTACTACAGTATTTACCTTGTTTCAAATCTCATTGGTTTCTCGTAAGTACAGATAGCGTACGGTACAGGCAGTCCCTGATTTACAATGGTTCAGTTTATGAAAATTTGAAATTCTGAAGAAGAAAAACTTTTTCCATAATTTTTTGCAACATTGGAAGATGCTAAGGTGCTGACACAGGCAACCCGAAGCTTCCTGTACCAGACCTGGTCAATTTATAAATAAAATTACTAAAACCAACATACAGTGCAGTATTGTACTGTTATGAAAGTGGTTAACTAAATTACAAACAATAAATATAGTGTTTCAGTTATTATGGTTCACAGGAATGCTGACTTAAGGTATTTTGATTGTGGGAATGCCGAAGTGTCTAGTATCTCAGAGATTGATCTGATGTTAAATGAAAGAATAAAATGTTAAATGGAAAAGTTTAGCATTTCTCCTTCCAATAAAGCCTCATCAAAAATCATGTCCAGTGAAAGCAAAACATCTCAAAATGTATGTACAGTGGTCCCTCAGTTAAGGAACACAATTCGTTCCACAGAGTCGTTCGTTAACCGAATCCACTGTTTCAATGGGATATTGGGTAATTGGTTCCAGCTCACAGAAAAGTACATACCGGTACTGTACAAAGTAAAAAAAAAAAATGCAGTAAAGTACACTTACTTTGAGGTGTGTATGTAGAAGGTTCCTGGTTGATGATGATGATGGGAATTAGAAGTGGGGGTGGAGGAGAAGGGAGAAGAAAAGGAAGTGGGGATGGAGGAGAAATTACCTTTCAGGGGACCCATTCTTGATGCAGTAATTTCACCAATAAAATTTTAAGTTCACGAGGTGTAATTCAAGATTATTTTCTTTAAATCAACACTGTACTATATATTATCAATATGTCAACTAAATTTCAGAATGACCAATAATTTTAATGTAAAAATGCAAAAAATATTCAAGACACCAACAAAATCGATTTTCACTCCACTGTCAACAAAGCCAAACTGACGCCTGGTGGCTGAGTCAAGCGGCTGATGGGCGCACAAAAAAATAGTTCACTGTACTGCATATATTATCAATATGTTAACAAAATTTTAAAATGACTAATAATTTTAATATAAAAAATGCAAAAATATTAAAGAGCACAACTTTCTTGATATTTACTCCACTGGAAAAGAATGTAAACATTGAACAGATTACTGAAATGGCAGACTAGCCCATCAGCTGAGGCTCACAACAAAACATGTTTGTAAGGATTTCGTTAATCGAAGCTTTGTTCGTTAACCGAAATGAAGATCCTTATGGGAGGTAATTCGTTAACCGAAATTTCATTAATCGAACCGTTCATTAAACAAGGGACCACTGTAATATACATTCAGTGCAGTATACAATACTGTACTTTCTGTTGGTGTGACACAAAATTAAATTATGTCTTGGCTGGGCCTCACAGTCTCGCACTGCACATTACCAGTGGTTCAATAACTCCTGTATTCTCCATTGCACGTAACTGTATTTCACTAACTTATGTCAAGTATTGAATTTTAATGATTTAGTACACCAAAAAATTTTCATTAAAAACATGAATTGTATCATTTTAAGACTTTTCTCTTAGGAATGTATCGTAGATTTTATAATGATAGTCTATGGGAAAACGGGATCTGATTTATGAAAGTTTTTTCAGGAATGGACCCCTTTTATATATATATATATATATATATATATATATATATATATATATATATATATATATATATATATATATATATATATATATATTTCATGTAAATCCACAATGAAAACGTGGATAAGATAAATCTTGATAAAATCACACGGGAAAATTTTAACAACGGAGCACCTTAGCTTTCGTCTTTATTCAAGACATCTTCAGAGGCAACTGGACTACATGGACAGAGAGGCTTAAATATACAGGGTGACCTTGAAAACATGAGGTCAGGTCATAATGATGTCATCCACTAATCCCCACACCAACACACACGTAGAGGAGCTTAAGAGAAGGGGGGTGACGTGACTAGTCAGGTCAGGTCAAGAATAAGGGACCCACAAAATAACTATCTTACATCTAGATCAAAGGTTTTCAAAGCATTTTTAACCTTGGGCCACTAACAAATAAATTTATGTAACATATTATCAGTTTTGAACTGACCATCACTAAGGTTTATTGATTTTAATTCCTTAATCAAACTAGCCTCAACCAGAAGTCTTTCTGTGACACAAGATGATTTAAATACTTCTAAGCTTTTTCCCAAGCAATGGGGTGATTATTATTCCTAACATGAACGAACAAGGCACTGCTTTCAGATGCTGTTCTGATATTATACTTATGTTGTTTGATTCTGAGCTGCAGTGTTTTTCCTGTTTGTCCTACATAATTGCAATTACATTTGCTACATGGAATACAATAAACACTTCCATTTACATTCAAACTTGGGCTATTCCTTATTAACATATTGGTAATGGTAGAGTCATACTTGAAAACAACATAAATATTTAGAAGCTTGAGGGACCGAACTAACGGGACAAATTCATTACGATAGGGCAGAGTCAAAATACACTTAAGAATATTTTGACTCTGCCTATAAAATGTTTAACAAATAGAACAAACCTGCAGCTCAGCATCTGGCAGTGTGCTGAAAAAAGTATTTAATCTGAGGCTACTAGTTAACTAGACTGATTGAAATTAAAATCAGCCAAACACTGAACCGGTTAAACTGAAATCGATGACAGGATTACTTTAAAGTCCATATGGTCAGTTGCCTCTGAAAATATGCCAGATAAAGACAGAAAGCTAAGGTGCTCACATGTTTCCATTTTTCCGTGTGATTTTATCAATATATATATATACTATATATATATATATATATATATATATATATATATATATATTTCATTAGCCCAATAAAGCACGCGGACTTCTACATACAATCAACACCTCAACCCGCCAGGATTCGAACCCACGGCCCCATGACTGTGAACGGGGAACGCTACCGCTGGACCACCAGGATACTAAAAGCAGTCCTAGACTTTGTTATATTTCACACAAAGCCTGTTCAACGAGCTTATGGTGCCGTGAAGCTCGTTGAACAGGCTTTGTGTGAAATATAACAAAGTCTAGGACTGATTTTAGTATCCTGGTGGTCCAGCAGTAGCGTTCCCTGGTCACAGTCATGGGCTCGTGGGCCGTGGCTTCGAATCCTGGCGGGTTGAGGTGTTGATTATATATATATATATATATATATATATATATATATATATATATATATATATATATATATATATATATATATATATATATATATATATATATATATATTCAGAAATTTCAGAGTAATTTCAAACGCCGTGCCATTGGCGATACCGAGTTTTCAAGGTCGTCTGAGGGAAGAGAGCGCTCCCCGCACATAGCGAGAGGTTGTGGAACTAGGCTTATATGATATTAAATGTAATTTGCCGAATTAATAATGATGCGATTCATGAAGTTAAGGGACTACTATTGAATTTGGAATTATTATAGATCGTTTATCAGTCTGAATAATGTTACGGGTGTCCCAAGGAGTTATTAGTTAGGCGGAAAATATGTCACGTAGGCCTAAGCTGACGCCTTGAAAGGACACGAGGTTGGCTAGCTCTCAGTAATACGAAAGCATTCGGATCAACAAAACGTCCCTGCGCGTCCGTCACAGAAATAGTCAAGTGGCCTAGTCACCTGTGTTCCGCTATTGCAGTATAACAAGGTTTCCGTCAGAACCCACTTGACTGCGAGTGATGACTGCAAGAGATTGACTGCCGTTTGAGACTGCCGTTGATGATTGAGGGTGGCGATTGTCGCCGTTGGACCGATCAGTGTAGGCCTGTCACTGTTTGGCGGGGTATCAAAGGATCTCTTGAGTGAATCTAGCAGTCTGGGCGCCCAGCTGACGACGGGACGATCGTTGGGGTCATCAGCTCTCCTCTACCTCGGCTCACAATACCACATGTCTCAAGCAGCTTAATGAAACCCTCTTGCTAACAGGAAGCAAGCTTCTCTCAACTGTACAAGGTCTGATTGGCTCACTCCCTTCCTCTTCATGGATGTACTGGGGGTAAAGTGAAGCCAGCTGAGTGATACAGGGCCGCACACTGGGGCCAAGAGTCAGTGGAGTTTAGAGGTACACTTTCCAAGGTGGAGAAAGGCTGATTTGGGCCTTAAACTACGGGTGCCTGTTGGTTGTGCCTTAAACGACTACGGAGTGCAGGTGGAATCTGTGTGTGTGTTAGGTTAGGAAGCATGGTTCACAGGTATTGGTGGACTCAGTAACTTCTTAATAATAGTGACAATATTTTTTTGTGTAGTTAATACTATTTTTTCAGTTACTAATGTATGATGTGTGCATTTAATATTTCTTTATAATCTCAATCTCAGGTATAACCTTTGTTCCCCAGAGTAGTGTTTAAGTTAGGTTAGGAGGTGTGTATCTGTTGGGGTAATATAATTTTGTTGAGCGCCCTGAAGGCCTATTCAGGGTGGAGTTAATAAGCTCTGATTTTATACCATTTTCTCAGTGCTGGATATAATTTTGGCGAGTGCCCTTAAGGCATATTCATTGTAGAGTTATCAATTTCTTATTTTTTTAATACCATTTTCTCAGTGATTGATATTTTGTTGAAAGTCCTTAAGGCCTGGTTCATGTGTGCAAGCAACATTTCTTAATACTTTAAACTTATTGTCCTCTAATGAGGCATTGCCTGAGGTTCTAA